TGCTCCTATTTCTGCATTGCATGTATTCCCATCTGGCCTCTGCTCTTTTAGCAATAATTGGAGAAAACATATTCCTTTGGGTTCATGTCTAGGCTTTATTTAACATGTAGATACTTCTTTTAAGCCATCCACTTGAATAAGAAATGTCACATTGCCTTCCAAGGCAAAGTCTCCAGCCCTAGAGGCAGCCAGGCTCCGACCACCTGACACAACTTCCAGCCGTATCTTACAGGGTGAGGAAAATGCTACAGATTTCCTAGCGTCACACTGAAACATCACACAGAAACTTCCAGGGCACACAGAACACCACATATGACAAACAGTTTGAATGAAAAAGTGCAGCATGTGAGCACAGGTGGGAGACAAGAGTGGAAATGTGTAGGCATCACCCAATCACTTTCCCTATCCTGGCTTCCCACTCCATATCCCTTCCCACCCTCACTGACCACCGGAAGTTGTTTCATCCCCCTGGGGTTGAAGGGCAACTCTCCTCCATCCCCCACCCAACCCCTAAAGCCTCACTCACAGTGGAAAGAGCATGGGGATGGGAGGAAAGCAGATTTCACTGTGAACCCTTGTCTTCATTCACATAAGTTGTGTGACCCTAGGCAAGTTGCTCACCCTCCCTCAGATGCCATTTCTCCAGGAATGAAATAGCATCTTCATGAATGGTTGGGATGATTGCAAGGGGTCCCCTGGTGAAGCACTTAGTCCAGCTCCATACTCCCAGCTCCCTGATGCTCCTCTCCTGCCCCTATCATCCTCCACCTTTAGTACCCTGAAGAGTTCTTAGGGAGTTCCCCCATACATCATGCTCTGTGACCCTGACAATAGTGCCCTGGCATAATCAGGGTAGGGGTTATTATTCTATTTTTGAGACGTGGGTAGCCAATTTATCAAACCATCTAAACTCAGTGAGGAGCAAACAGAAAATGATTTTATTTTTCCTATTTGATGGCATTGGCTTTAATATACCCTCCTCTCCCTTGGTTGTACATCCCATGACAAAATCTTGGCAGATTCCTTAACCTCCTGGTTACTTTAATATATTAAAGTTTATCTAAAGTAAAACTCTAGTTTTGTCTCCTATTTAAGCCTCACTTCCTCCAGCCCCTGTCCAGTTTACAGCCTGAAGGACTTGAAGTGAAGAGGGTCTGTTCCGCTCCTATGCTGCTTCCAGGTCCTCACCTCGGTGTGCCTCAATCTCAGCGAATGTTTCATACTCCCCCCACCCCACTTAGCTTTTTCAGAGATGGAGGGGCCTTTTTAGAATCAATTCTGTGTTTCCAAAGACTCAGAACCTGCTTCTCTATATCAGTCAGAATATCCTGTCATGCCACAGTAACAAGCAACTCCACAATAACTCAGGGATATCTCCTTATCCCCCTTCTTTAGCAGCTGTAGCTCCTCTGGAAGATTTGAGATATAGGGTAGAAGAAAAGAGAATAGAGTCCTAGCTGGCCCACTGTTTCTGACCTCTCTGTGTAGATTGTTGCTGCTTCCCAGGGTGGCGCTTTCTGGCTGAGGAAGCCCCATTGGTGGCCATAATGGGGTTTTTCTAGAGGGCCCTGCAGGTCCTCCCCACTGAACAGCTCCCTGAAGTGGAGAACTGGCTTCAAACAACCACACCTAACCTCACATGGACAAAGTACAATCCCACCACGTACAGGAGGGTGGGGAGAGCAGTATTGTATGAGTTATCTATTGCTGTGTACCCACAACAGACACACGATTTAATGGCTGAAAACACCAGTCATCTCTTGAGTTGATGAGTGTGTGGGCTGATAGTTTGAGCAGGACTCAGCTGGACAGTTTTTTCTGGCCTCATCTGGACTCCCTTATGCCTGCAGGGCAGCAGGGTGGCTCTGCTTCTGGGGTCTCCCTGGAGTGACGTGGAATCAATTAGACTACGTGTCTCTCATAATCCCTCAAGCTACCTTAAGTAGCTTGTTCATATGGCAGCTTGGCAGGTTTCCCAAGAGAGGGCAGAAGCATGCAAGGCATCTTGAGGCCTGGGCTTAGAACTGCCTTAAAATTGCTTCTGCTGCCTTCTATTGGTCAAATTCCCAAAACCAACTAGATTCAAGGAGTGAGAGAATAGGCTTCGCTTTTGATGGGAGGAGCTACAAAGTCACATTGCAAAATGGCAAGGAGAAGGAGAAGGGGAGAGAATGTGGTCTTTCTGTATCCACACCGAGCACTAATGGCCACCATATCTTCCTGGACTTTTGAGGTAGAAGTTGGGAGATTGAGGCAGAGGCAGCTGGGCTTGGCAAGGTGACATCCACTTGTCTTATATATTGTGTAGGGGAGTCTGAGCACACGTGATGAAGGCCCTTGTTAGAATAGAGTACTGAGTACCTTTTTATTCTTTTTTTATTATTTTTCATTGGCATGTAATAACTGTACATACTTATGGGGTACAGAGTGATGTTTTAATACATATATTAAAAATATATAGTGATCAGATCAAGGTAATTAGCACATCCATCATGTCAAGGGTGTATAATTTCTTTGTGTTGGGAACAGTCAATATCTTCCTTCTAGCTATTTGAAACTATATATTATTGTTAATTATAGTCATCCTACAATGATATAGAGTGCTAGAACTTATTCTTCCTGTCTAGCTATAACTTGTGTCTTTTAACCTTCCCCCTACCATTGCAAGCCTCCAGTGTCCTCTGTTCTACTCTTTACTTCTATGAGATCAACTTTGTTTAATTTCCACATATGAGTGGGAATATGTAGTGTTTAACTGTTCCTGGCTTATTTCACTTAACATAATGTCCTCCGGTTCCATCCATGTTGCCACAAATGACAAGATTTCATCCTTTTTATGGCTGAATAACAATCCATTGTGTATATATACCACATTTTCTTTATCCATCCATCTGTTGTTGGACACCTAGGAAGATTCCATATCTCGGCTATTGTAAATACTGCTGCAGTGGACGTGGGGGTGCAGATGTGTCTTTGACATACTGATTCCCTTTCCTTTGGATAAATGCCCAGTAGTGGGATTGCTGGATCCTGTAGTAGTTCTATTTATAGATTTTTTGAGAAACTTCCATACTGCTATCCATAGTGGCTATACTAAATTTACATTCCCATCAACAGTGTATAAGAATTCCCTTTTCTCCGCATCCTTGCCAGCTTTTGCTATTTTTTGTCTTTTTGATAATAGCCATCCTACCTTAAGTGAGAGGATACTTCATTGTGGTTTGTTTTTTTTTTTATTTCGGCATATTATGAGGGTACAGATGTTTAGGTTACATATGTTGCCCTTGCCCCCCCTTCCCCCCAAGTCCAAGTTTCAAATATTTCCATCCTTCGGGTGGTGCACATTGCACCCTTTGTGTATGCATATACCCATCCCCTCCTCCCTCCTTCCCCTCCCCCCTTCCCCCTGCCCAACATCCAATAGATGTTATTTTTATATGTGCACTTATGTGTTGATCAGTTAATACCAATTTGATTTGCATTTCCCTGATCATGTGATGTTGAGCATTTTTTTATATATATGTTAACCATTTGTATGTCTTCTTTTGAGAAATGTTTGTTCAGATTACTTGCCTGTTTTTTAATCAGATTTTTGGGTGATTTTTGTTGTTGTTATTGTTTTTGCTGTTGAGATGTTTGAGTTCGTTATATATTCTGCATATTAATCCCCTATTGGATGAATATTTTGAAAATATTTTCTCTCATTCTGTAGGTTGTCTTTTCATTCTGTTGATCACTTTCTTTGTTATGAAGAATTTTGGTTTGATATCTGAGCACCTTTTTGCCTGCCATAGATGTTAATTCTAGGCAATAAAAAGAACCATTAAGGAAACCACCTTAAAGGTGAAATGACTTGTTGCAAGTCATGCAACTAGTAAGTAGGTGGTCCATTTCTTTTATCTGAGCAGAGGAAGAACTATGTACTAAGGAATGGTAATGAAAAAGAATAGTAACTAGGAGAGACTTTTAAAAGATCACTGTGGCTAGGGAGACAGAACAAGGTGGATGGTGGTGCCAGCTGTCATTGGGGTCCAGAATCTGCCAATTTCTGGAACCCACAACAAGGAGTTTTCTTTAAATATAAGAACAAGGGAAACTTCCTGAGGGATTTTAAACAAGAAGACTCATCTGCTCACATCTGTGTTTCCAAAAGATCCCTCTAGCTTCAATGAGAAGCTGGATTAGAGGGGCGGACCAGATGCAAACCCAAACCTTTCAGAAGTAGTGCTTTTCCACACCCATTTTTGGTGCCTCTTCCTAAGTCCCAAAGGCAAAGGAGAAATGGTCTAGTTTGTCATGGCCGAAAACAAGGGGCAGAGCAGCAGGAAGAGCAGAGGAAGTCAAAGGGATAATTCGACACTGTGTCCTACATACACAAACACACACACACATATACGCACACACGCACACACACACATACGCACACACACAGAGGTTACTTAACCATATGTTTCAGACCCAAGCAGACTTTAGAGTTTCTGGTTTGTGCTCTGTGGATGGCTGTGCCAGATTGATTTCAAATCAGACAATGGGCTCTTCTGCTTTGCTGTGTGCAGAGACAAGTGGCTGCTAAGTGATCACAAGAGAGAAAGGCCAGCATTACACACCCAGCCTTTGAGCCCATGAGTTCATGCACTTAATAATTCCAATGATTCAAATTCAAAAGGCAAGTGATGTCAAAACCCAGCATGGTGGGATGTGTTGACAGCACACTGGTGGGACCTGAAGGAGGGAGGGGAGGAGGAGCAGGGGCAGAAGCAAAGGCATAATGGGACCACTTTCGGCAGTCTGGCTTGGTGGCAGGGGAGGGTTGGTGCTGCTGAGTTTCCTCATCACTAGGCGCCACCATCACCCCACCCATACAGGGAAATACATGAGCCTCCTCGGGGCTGAGAGTGTCAGTGGGAACTGTGCAGTGCATGGAGCAGACCTCACCCCCACAGCCTGGGTCTGCATGATCCATCAATCGTAAGAGAAACTGTTCTGTCATTATATTACAGCTCCAGAAACTAAAACGATCACTTTCTTTCAAGACCAAGAGTTTACGGAGCAAAAGTGCTGACAACTTCTTCCAGCGCACCAACAGTGATGGCGTGAAGCTGCAAGCAGACATGCTGGCTGAGGTCAGCCCCAGCTCCAGCCCACTCCCTGTGCCTGGAAGCCTGACGTCCACACCTGCCAGGACTGGACTGCAACCAGGTGGCAAGGCCCATGCCTTTCAGGAACACATCTTCAAGAAGCCCACTTTCTGTGATGTCTGCAACCACATGATAGTGGGTAAGGCCTCCCCTGCCCCCTCCTCCAGATCCCAGCGTCCCTGGAAAGCTGAGTGAGAGTGGTGTACCACGGGTCCAGGTTCCCACGGCAGACTCTGGGCCTCAGAGATTTACATGCAGGAGGATCGTTCAGGAGTGCTTTGGGGAGCAATATTTGTGAAAAGGTAAGGGAAGCAGGACTGAGCAGAGGGAGAAGTGGGTTCGTGATATAGTTGTAACCAAGACTTCAGCTGACTCCCAGGGAGCCCGAAAGTCCTTTGGAGCTTTCTTGCATTGAGGCAAGAGGTCTGGATCATTGTACACCTGCATTAGCCTGCCATTGCAAGTGAGCAACGAGCGAGACTTGGAATGTTCGTTGCTTCCCAAAGAGGCCAATGTCTGTCATCCCTGAACTTGGGCATATCAGTGATTTCCAGTATGGCCTGGAAGGCAGGGTTCTACAGTTTCCTTCACCCTTTGCCAGGCCCAGTTGAAGGGTGGGATGTTCAAAATGAGGAGCAATGTCAGCCTCTTCTTACAACGGTATACACAAGGCCTGTCCTCATTTTCAGAAAATCATTATCTACTCACACTCTCATATTCTAGTCACTGTGATTCATGTTCTTCCTTCGAATAGGCCACATTGAGGAATAGCGCTTGTATCAGTCAAGGATTTCCACCATAATGTTGCCAACAACTACTCTAAAACTACAGTGTTTTAAAAATAGCCATAATTTACTCTCAGGTACCTTCAGGTCAGCTGGGGTTTGGCTGAAACAGACAGGGCACAGTGACAGCAGCTTCTCTCTATTCCTTATTTCTTAGCCTTTCCTTGAACCAGTGGGCCAGCCATGTTCTGTTCTCATTGCAAGGACAAGTGGAAGCCTGCAAAGCTTCTTGAGGCCTTGGGTTGGAGGTGGCACACTGTGACTGCTCCTGGCATTCCATCTGCCGAAGCAAGTTATGTGGCCAGGCCCATAGTCAAGGGATGGGGAAGTCCCCTCTGCCTCTAGTAGCAGGGACTGCAGGCCCCCGGGCAAAGGGCATAGATACAGGAGTGGAGAATGGGCTCAGTAATCCAGTCTCCCACTTAGAGTGGTTTCTGGATTATGGATCATTTTTTTGTTTGTTCGTTTGTTTGGTAGATTCTGCTAAATGTTGGGGCTCCCACCCGTCTATTTCACATCCCATCTGGAAGTGATACCTGGCATCTGGCCATCAGCGTGGAGGGCTTGGAGGTCTCATCATGCTCCACGCCCTGAATATTTAGGCACTTTGGCCTCTAACTCAGTTTCCATGTCTGCCTAGCTTCTGGATCTGATGAGCCACTTTCAATTTCCACACAAATTTCCACCAGGCTTTTTCAAGGCAGCGATATTCATAACCCTTAAATAGGTGATGATGAGTCTCTATTTTAAATCTCATTGTGAGAGTGTGAAAAGACAAACGGAACATGTGTTTTTAAAAATGAGTAATGGAAATGAGTTCACCTCTGAGGAATGTCATTACCCTAAAGAGGATTCTGGGTACGCCTCAAGTGCGACAATTTTGAAAGATTCTGTTTTGAACATCACACATACAAAAATGCCCTCTTCTAAAAAGAATTGCATTGTGCTTTTCTCTCATCAGAATTAAATTTATATTGTAGCTGCCATTTTATCTTAAAAGAAAAAAAAAGAAAGGAAAAAAGGAGTCCACAAGGCATGCTGCTCTTTTCAAGGGTGAAAACAAAGTAAACCAAGTAATAGGCTCCTTCTAGGAAAGAAGAAAGGGGTTTAGGGAGGTGACCTGAGGCAGAAGGGAAAGGGGGAGAGAGGGAAGGCAGGAGGGAGGATGAGAGGAGCCGGGAGAGGTGGAGTAGGGCTCAGAAGTGCTCTAACTTCCTGAAACAATCCTTAGGGCTTTTTAATTCTCTGCTAAGGGCGCTCAGCTGATCTGCGCTCTTTCTCTTTCTTTACCCTTCAAACCTAGCCTTGTGTCTCCTCACAGATTACCCAAAGATTTGTTTCCTTCAAGGCACAGGTCATCACCATATTCTAGATTTTCAGGAAAGACTACCTGTTGTTATTCATTTAGAATAACATTTCAGAAGAGATATTAAAGCTGCTTCTTTTTTTCCTTTCAACTGAGAACCAAAGGTTGTATGATAGCCAAGAAAAATCAAACCTCACATGTGTACTTTCCAGCTAATGGATACTTCTTTACAAATAAAATGAATCTGACATCCTCAGTGGGCACTCACAGTTGGTTTTACAAGGCCTCACATTCGTGTCCCACTGACACCTGTGCCTTAAAGATGGACAGGCCACATATTTGCCATATGATGACTGATCAATGAAAGTAGATCAGGACTCCAGCCTCATTCACTGGCCTATCTGTTTCTAATTTCTTTAGCTTCCTATTGCCACGTTTTTCCCTTGACCTTGGACTTGAACCTGAACTTGCTACTTACCTGGCTCCCAGACCCTTTGGGTTAAGTAGGCACCATGACATGCCTTCTGGTTAATCCAATCTTGCCTCGGGACCTTGCTACCCTTTATGATCACCTCTTAGCCATCCCTTCCAAGAAAATTTGGTCACCTAATAAAGCCGAAGATGATCATCCCAACTTTTCATGGAGATGTAAAAGAAATAGGCAGTCAGGTATGCCTGTCAGCTCCAATGCTGAATGCCCCTGGCTTTGGGTCAACAGGACTCAATACTGAGTCTTAGGCTAGGCCAGGAGGTTTCTGAGCTATCTCTTGTGCTTGGTTAGATGAGCATATTTCCTCCACCAAGCAGATTCACTCTTGCCATTCTTAGACCTTGACAATGAGAGTTAGAGGGGGAGGACTCATCTTCACTGTGTCTATGGCTTTCTATCTTTATATTGAGTTACTGTCTACCATGACTCATTCCAGGAGAGCATTAAACCTGTGTGGTAATCTGCAGCTCATTGAAATTTCAAAGACTTCAACAAATCAACATGTACTATTAATATAACTAACTCAAGGCATGAATCTACTCCAACAATTAGGAGATTTTCCAAGGGACTCCATTCTTCTGTTTATTGACAGATCCTTTGTCTCCAAAACTATTTTTAAATTAACTAAAATTATTTAGTTGGAGTCCACTTAATAAAAGACACAGCATATTAAATGGACTCATATTTTCTAAACAAATATTTATCAAAATGGATTTCATTGCCTAAAACATCAAGTTTCTGTATACAGTTGCTGCACAAAGAATCATTCACTTTCGTAACTGTTCAAGTGATAACGACTGGGAAAAATAATAATAGTGATGTCTTAGATTAGCATCCCTAGAAGCAGGGCCTGAGACAGGGGTTCTTGTGAAAGTGATTTGTTATGGGGAGTGTCCTCAGGAGGAGAGTCAAAGAAGCAGGAGGAGCAGGGGAAGGAGCAGAGCAAGGCTGTGGTCTCAGTGGGAATCCACTTCAGACTGACCCTTCTGAGCAGTCCTACCTTGAGACAGGAAACTGACCTTTGCACACTCTTGTCCCTCAGTCATTGGCCATGGCTGCCCCTAATAAGTAGTGGGGGGCATCTCAGGCAAGGAGCATCCCATTTGACTGAGGACAATTCTCTGGGAAAAAAAGGGTATCTGGGTATCTGTGAGTCATTAGCAGCCAACACTCACAGCACTAGCATGGTAAATAAGACCTGGAATAGGTACCAACAAGTGGACGAAGTTCTACTGCATCCATGAACACACTAATGCTGCAAGATGCAAAATGCAGATGCACCCTGCACTAGGAACAAATTTAAAATGCACATGGACCTTGGCATTGCTGTATGTATATTGTATATTGTTATATTATTCATTGCATTACCATTATAATGAATAATGTAACATGAGGAAATACTACATTACACTGAGCCCAGGACCTTTCTGCTATGCTCTTGTTTGACCATTAGTTTAATTGTTTCCTGACCTATACTGACCTGATACCATTGCTCAAAAAAGCCATAAGCCATTAACCAAACTTTGAATGGAAAATATATATGCACACATACACAACATAAAGACGTAGAACCAAAAAGACAAAGCAGTGTTTGCTAACCAATGAAGTTGTCTCTTGTTGAGAAAGACCAAACAAAGATCAAGGGGAATATTAACAAGTAAATGTCAAGTCTGTGTATTCTCAGAATGGAATTGAACCCCTGAGGTGCTGTCAATTATTTCACTGGATAATTGTTTTAGGGGCTGTAGAGCTTGCAAATAATAAAATATAAATTCTCTCTAAAACCTTTTTTTTTAATGTCTCAAGTAGATAGTCTCCTTTGGGCCATAATATATTTCCATATTAAAGTGCAGTACCCAGAACTCAGTTCGTAAATCCAATGTGCATAAATCTCTGGTGTCCAGAGCTTAACTGCTACTTTTCTAGAAGAGGACAAAAATACAGTGTAATGCCCAGTCCAACAGAGACAAATAGTTCCTTTCTATTCTTTGTGCAATCAAACCACTTAAGAGACTCCTGTTGATTCTGGGCACAGAATTGTAAGCGAAAGTAAGTAAAGCTAGAGCACAGTCATAGTAAGGAGATGGTGACCCTGCCTGATAAGGAATGTTTGCAAGAGGTGGCAATGTTTGGCCTGGAAAAGACTTAGGAGAACATGATCATTCTCTTCAAGTAGCTAAAGAGATCGCATCTAGAAGAGGATTTAAACTTCCCTGGGGTCCCAAGTGCACAATGATAGATGATACAGTGAGGCAGAGTTCAAGACACTAGAAAGAAGAGCTTCTTAAAGTAATTCCGGAAGTAGGCTTCTTGGATTTGGGGAGGGCATAAAACATGTGTATGGAAAATGCTGTATACTATACTCCCTTTGAATATTCATAGCACGTGTTAGCATTTTGAAGTCCTGCCATCCTGCAAGCAACCCAGGTGTTATCATCAGTAAAGAACAGAGGCAGTGAGGAAAATGGATTATAAGCAAGGAGTTCTCTCTCCTGTCTACTTTCCCCTAATTCCGCTTGGCTACTACTGAACACTGTTTGGCAGGTATCTCTTTAATG